CATATTAAGCAAAGAGACCTGACATGCGATCTATCATAGAATGTGTACTGACTTAGGTTAATACCTTGGGTCTCAGATCATGGTTAGAAATGAGAAGTCTCTTTTTCAAAGCAGCAGCTAGAATAATATAGTTTTTCAATAATAAAGCAGTTAAATATTAATTGCAAACGAAAGTTCTGATGATAATCCTGAAAGGAACATAAATCTAAGAAGCAATTTCATCTGTACGTAAGTAAGTAACATGAAACTGTTCTAAGGTGACAAGTTTATGCAACTGGTCATAGTCAACACAGGTTCATGAGGGGAAAGTCCTGTTTAACTAACTTCATTTCCTTTTACGACAAGGTCACCCATCTAGCTGACCAAGGGAAGCCAGTAGATGTGGGGGTTTGGGATTTTAGCAAAGCTTTTTATAATGTCTCTCACAGTATCCTTCTGCACAAAATGTCCATCACATAGCTAGACACGACCATAATATGCTGGGTGAATAACTGGCTGATGGGTCAGGCTCAAAGAGTTATCATGAATGGGGTTACCTCAGGCTGGTGGCCAGCCACCAGTGAGGTTCCCCAGGGCTCTATTTTACAGCCAGTGCTCTTTAATGTTTTTATAAATGATCTGGATGCAGGAGTTGAATGTACATGAAGTAAGTTTGCTGATGATACTAAATTAGGAGGAGCTGTGAACTCCCTCAAGGGTAGAGAGGCTTTACAGGGAGATCTGGGTAGACTAGAGAGGTGGGCAATCACCAATATGAGCAAGTGATGGATTCTGCACCTGGGATGGTGTAATCCTGATTATACATAGAAACTGGAAGACAAGAGGCTGGAGAGCAGCCCTGCGGAAAGAGATCAGGGGCTTTGTCTTGATGGCAAGCTGAGGATGAGTCAACAGCGTGCCCTGGCAGCCAAAAGGGCCAACTGTGTCCTGGGGTGCATCAAGCACAGCATAGCTAGCCAGTTGAGGGAGGTGATTGTCCCACTCTACACTGCACTGGTGCAGCCCCACCTCGAGTACTGTGTGTGGTTTTGGATGCCTCAATATAAGGACATCAAACTATTAGAGTGTGCCCAGAGGAGGGCGACCAAGATGGTGAAAGGCCTCAAGGACAAGACTTCCGAGGAGCCGCTGAGGTCACTTGGTCTGTTCAGCTTGGAGAAGAGAAAGCTGAGGGGTGACCTCATCACAGTCTACAACTTCCTCAAGGGGGGCAGCGGACGAGGAGGTGCTGATCTCTCTCTGGTGACCAGTAATAGGACATGAGGAAATGGTATGAAGCTGCATCAGAGGAAGTTCAGATTGGACATTAAGAAATGGTTCGTCTCTGAGAGGGTGGTTGGTCACTGGAACAGGATCCCCACAGAAGCGGTCATGGCACCAAGTCTATCAGTGTTCAAGGAGTGTCTGGATGACACTCTTATTCATATGATTTATTTTTAGGTAGTCCTGCGAGAAGCAGGGAGTTAGACTCAATGATCTCTATGGGTCCCTTCTAACTCAACATATTCTATGATTCAATGATTCTCATTACTTTACATACAAAGCTACTGGGTTGATTTATGCACCACAGTATTTGTATAACAAGGTTTAATTTAATTTATCGAAGCACAATTCAAATTTTCAGAAAAAGTCCTTATGAATTAATTTGGTCTGTGAGAGTTCAGTGGCAGTTACTGGAGTCTCAGATTCTTCCACTCTAGGTGCCAAGTTATGCAAAGGAAGTCACCTTACAGCAGCTGTTTCCAGAATGGCAGTGCTCTCTCACAGCCACCTCAGCACAATGCTCCACAAGGATGACTTCCTTCACCCTGCAGCTGACCTGAAGAGTCACTGACAGTTTCCTGCTTCGCGGGGCTCCGCACACTGGTGAGGTGGGCTTCAGGGCACAAGGAGCTAAACATGGCTCTAACATCTCACCCCACCTGTATTGGGTTTGCATGACAAGGTTTTGGTAGTGGGGGTGCTACAGGGGTGGCTTCTGTGAGAAGCTGCTGGAAGCTTTCCCCATGTCTGATAGAGCCAATGCCAGATGGCTCCAAGATGGATCTGCCACTAGGCAAGGCTGAGCCCATCAGCAACACTGGTGGCACCTCTGTGATATTTAAGAAGGAGGGAAAAAAACCAGCTGCAGTTATGCAGCTGGAAGAGAGGAGTGAGAATATGTGAGAGGAATAACCCTGCAGACACCAAGGTCAGTGAAGGAGGGGGAGTAGGTGCTCTAGGCACTGGAGCAGAGATTCCCCTGCAGCCTGTGGTGAAGACCACAGTGAGGCAGGCTGTCTCCCTGCAGCCCATGGAGCTCCACGCTGGAGCAGGTGGATGTACCTGAAGGCAGCTGTGACTCCACGGGAAGCCCGTGCTGGAGCAGGCTCCTGGCAGAACCTGTGGACCCAGCGAGCAAGAGGAGCCCACACTGGAGCAGGTTTGCTGGCAGGACTTGTGACGCTGTGGGGGACCCACACTGGAGCAGTCTGTTCCTGAAGGACGGCACTCCATGGAAGGGAACCAGGCTGGAGCAGTTTGTGAACAACTGCAGCCTGTGGGAAGGACTCACGTTGGAGGAGTTTGTGGAGAACTGTGTCTGGTGGGAGGGACCCCACACTGGAGCAGGGGAAGAGTGTGAGTAGGAAGGAGAAGCAGAGACAATGTGTGATGAACTGTCTGCAACCCCCATTCCCTGTCCCCCTGCACCACTCGGTGGGAGGAGGTAGAAGAAATCGAGACTGAAGTTGAGCCCAAGAAGAAAGCAGGGGTGGGGGGAAGGTGTTTTAAAATTTGGTTTTATTTCTCATTACCCTGCTCTGATTTTGATGGTAATAAATTAAATTAATTTCCCCAAGTTGAGTCTCTTTTGCCTTGGATAGCAGCAACTGGTGAGTGATCTCCCTGTCCTTATCTTGACCCACCACAGCATCAAAAAGTTCTGCAAGTAACACTGAATTTCTCCCAATCCCTTCTTTCACCAATAAGATGAATACTTGTGAATAAGAAAAACTTGGCTAAATCTTCTCTGTGGGCTTTCTAATGCCCCAAGCTGGAAGTAGTCAGTTTGCCACACCACAGAGGGTTTTGCTTCCTAACAGATCAATCATTTTGGCAAATATCAAGTCCTTTTAACACATTATGCGTTTAAATAAATAAATAAATGATTTTGAAATGTCAGTTGTCTAGAAAAGCAACTTCTGGACACAGATAGAATTGGAAATGACTTGGCCACTGCTACCACAAGTCTCTCTAAAATTACGCTGCAAGTAAAAGAGAAGGGAACATACAAGGGTAGAGAGCAAATAAGTGTTCTCACTTCCAGACCAGCTCCCTTTCTGGATGCTGTACAGCACCTGATTCTGGACTGGGAGCAAATGAGTCACCAGTCAATTTACTTATGAAGTCATAATTCCCCCCAACAATGCTTACACTAGTTCTACGGTTTCCATAGCAACTAATGTATTTGAAATGAAAGAAAAAGTAATAAGATAAATAGGAAGCATAACATACATTGCAAAAGTGTGGGTGTGCATAGCACTAATTATTAATGGTCTGCTGTGGAATGAATTGCAAGTTGCCTTTTCAGTAATGGCTTTTCCATTGAGAAGTAACATGGGTCCACATATCTGCATTACTAACGCTACATTTCACCAGTAAAAAATTAACACCGATGGATTTCCTAGCTTTTGAAGCAAAATATACCTTTATCATATTTGAAATAAGCATCTTCTCTGACCACATTCTGAGTGGTGTTTCTGTTGATATCAGTAACAATTTGGGTCACTAAGGAACTTTTTTTGGTAGTGTTAAGGGCCTTACCCTTTAGCTTGAAGTTTTGCTGTCAAGTCAGCAAATATCTTGAGTGACGTGGATTTAGTAGTCAGCTAATATCATTTCACACGAACCAAGGGATTGCATACAACCAGTTACACATTGGAAAGTTACTGTATGCTTGAAAAAGGTGACATCATGAAATGTAAGTGATTAAATATTTTTAAATCTCTGTAGCGTCATAACTTACCACTACAAAATTATTCTAAGGTAATTCACTGATTTTATTAAATACCTAGGGCATGCAGCATGCATTTCTGCATGTATGCTGTTCTTTAAAATATCCCACACTTCCATTAAGAAGTGCTAGTCAGACAGTCACAGCGTTCAAGAGTACCAAAGACAATTCTATGATGTCCAGCCAGGAGTAAGTTCATGAGATAAGCAGGTGAGAGTCAACCTTATTACTTGCAAATAAAGACAGCAGGATTTACAGCACATATTAGACCTTATTTACTAAAAAAAGAGAGACAAAGAAAATACCAGAACACGGACATCTTTTGTCAATTACTAGGTTTGATTGACAGATAATTTTAAAGTGAGATGATGCAATAAAATCTGTTTAGAAATGAGGGCAGAAGTGAGACTTGCATGAGTCCAGTCATAACCATCATCCTTACTCTGTCAATAAGCATAATAACAAAGTGGATATAGAACTATGAATGGGAAATTTTGTCAGAGTACTTTTCCCAGAAGGTATAAATATCATAATTTAACACATCTAGAACAAGTGAGTATTTTATTACTTGAGAGACACAGAAAATGGGATCTTCGTCCCGCCCACTCTCTGCCCTATGCCACCGCTCCCCCAATTTCATGAATAAATTATTTTACAAGCAGAATTATAAAACTTCCTACTTGGTAGTTTTGTCTGAGAAATAACCCTAACACTAGTTACTAGGTTCCCTATTATGGTTGTTTGTGAAATATTAAAGCTTTATCCGCAGGCTTTTGTCATCTCGGAGTTACTCAAAACCGCCTCTGAATTAGGTATTATTTGCTCAACAGAGAAGATAAGGCCCCAGTGAAAAGAATGACAGATTATGTCACACAGTTGAAACAGTGTATCAGAATAATTCCTATTGCTATAAGATTGACTTAGCAGAGACTGGTTAAATAACTGCAAGTTCAATATAAAATAGTGGTAATTATTTAAAGTCTTTAAAAATATTTGTAATGCTTACCTCAATGACTCTTGTTTCAAAATCTCCATAAGTTTCTATAGGGAGAAAAATAGGGTATTACATTTCTTTGTATTATTTACCTATCAGCACCGCTCCCTGTAGATGGTATAATTTAAAAAGAACACAATTTTTATGTAACAATAATTTATAAATTAATCTCAGCAGTAAGTAGAAAAGGTAAGAATAATTTGAACAAATGTATCTAAAGTGAGCTTTATTAGTTGCTTCCTTTTTAAAAGACCCCAAATACGTTTTTTTACTTGACTTCATTCAGTCAGTCTCTTTTAGAATAAGGTCAGTGAAAAAATAGCATACAGCTCTTATTTACAAAGCACAGGGTTTTTTTCATTTCTTCAGTAACATCAACATATGTGAGGAAAACTAGCTTTTAAAAAATCCAGTTAAAATCGTAACTTCCCAGAAAGTGTAATACTACTCTTATAATTACAACACAGCTCCTGTTATAATTATGACAGGACAACTGTTAAATAGATTCATTGTGCTCTATTATGGACCCCAACCTCCAAGTACAATCAATATCTCATCTGTTTAAGTACCATACATGCAGGGAAATACAATGGAAACAGTCTCCAAAGAGTGTCCAATCTAAATAACCAGAGTAGCACAAAGGAAGAAAAATAATAATTTTTTAAAATAGTAAAGCAAGAAATAAAAATTTAACTGTTTTATCTGAATATCACACAGAAAGCAAAGCTGATGGAAAAGCTAAGAAATCCTCAGAATCTGTTGAATATTTTGATAACAAGCTAAGCTATATATCCTCTCCGAATTAGATCTGAAACTTTCTTTTGGAAATCACTGCAACTCACCATTTCCACCGATGCATTTTTGTCAAATTATATTTGATATTCTTCCTAATTCTTTCCCACTGCAGAAATGCCATGAAAAATTACTATCCACAGCGTGTTATGAAAATTAAATGTTTGGGTTTTCCCGGGCTGGCAGTGCCTTCTTCCCTAAATACTGCTCTAAAACTGTGAATAAACCCCAAATTTCATATACACTGAGCAAAAGCTGCAAATTGTTAAAAAATAAAAAAGTAAATCACCAAATCACTTCCATCATAGCCATACTGTTATCCAATATTGTTCAGAATATTCTGAAACTTGTATTAGACAATTATCAGGGATTCAAAGAAACTGCAAGTTTCTTGATACATATTTCAGTGAAATTCCAGAGAGAGGGGTGTGTGTGTAAAACAAAACAATAAACAGCCACTTCAAATAATCAAGAATCACATAGCCAGACTTCTTTTTTATCTCTCTCAATTTCAAATTCTGCCTGAAAAAATGTCTTTGCAATCAAAGACAATTACAGCATCATTTACTTTGTCTAGTAACAGTTAAGGTGTTTTGCATTGTAAAATAAAGATGGTTTCTATGTCAAAGCTGTGTTCAAGTCTTTTCATCACAGTGGTGATGTGTTCAGCGTTTCATTACATATTCACATTTCATACATTATATATTCATCTCTAAGTGACAAACATATCCTTTTCACTGCACAGAAAGTTAGTAAGTTTCTGCTCTGACATTAGAAGGGACTTCAAAGAAATAAGATGTTTTTGAAACATTTTACAACATTGTGGGGGAGGAAGGAGCAAAAATATTGGAGAGCTCTGGGCATGACATGGGCATCTACATGTACTGCCTCCAAAGACAGTAAGTCCAACGGAGATCGCAAAACCGTGCAAACAGCAGCCCAGTCAGGCCTTCACCCTGAGACATGCTGTAAAAAAAGTCAGCATGCAAATCCCTTATGCTTGGCTTTCAGCAGTTCCACCAGCATTTTTCAAAATCCATTTTATAGACACAGGCAAAAATGCCAAATCATGGATACTGCCAAAAAGATCCCATTTTCTCCGATTTTCTGTTTCAAAACCTGATGTGCACACAAACACCTGAATATAAATTGGAAATATATTTGTTTCTTTTTATGCAACTGAGAGCATACTTACAATTTTATATAATCTATAATTTAATACAGATATGCTTTCCACAAGGAGTATCCTATTATCAGCTTGATTGTGGGAAAAAAAACTACTGACTTTGAAAACAATGGAGTAAAATGCTACATCTTGGTATAAGAAGCAGAATAGATAAAAGATCCTTCCAACCTCCTGTTTTTCCAGTTTCTCTCACGAACAAGAGCATTTCAGCATAACAAATGAAGACCAGTGTTAATTAAAGTATTTAATATTTATTTTATTTGGTGTAGTCACAATGAGACTCTGGAGAAAGGCTTGGGAACTGAAAACAGTATAATGGTGAAGAAATGGGGACTCATTCCTTCATTAAATATTGCTTTATCATTTCCACATAACCTCCAAGATGATTATAAACATGACCATTTCACCACAATTTAGAGATCTGTTAGTCTACAAGAAGCAGATTTTTAGCTCACAGTAGAGAATATGAATGCCAACAGACACTGTTCCCTCTCTGAAGCCTCTTCAGTTGCATAGCAATAATGTAAACTTGGAAGAAAAAGAATTTTATTTCCAACTGAAAAATACTGTTCTTTCTCTGCTTATAGCTAACACAATAAGTAAAGGTGTAAGAAGTAAGAAGATGCCCCTGAAAGAATGAAGCATTAAAGAAAAAAAAAAAAAAAAATCACAGTACGTAATCAATATCACTAGTATCAGTCAAAAGCAAAATCAAGGAAAACACTGGAAGGTAAAATTCATACATGCATAAATGTTGTTTACAACAGCTGCCACATCCTTTAATGGAATAAACTACTTGAAAATATATTTGAATTTAAAACCAACATAGTCTTGTGTTCAAAGTATGGAACTAGAACCATGAAATTTTCTTTACTTTCTCTATATTCCACCACTGACTTATGGGAAATTTGGAACAATTCATTAATTTCTCACATCTTCTATTTTTCAGTTGTAAGATTCAGTGACAGGCTGCCAAGGCCATTGTCACATCACTGTCTTCTGTGGAATACTTGCTTTCAAGGTAATATAATGAAACACAGGGAAGTAAATATAGGAAGTCTGTCATTTGTATACTGCAGTATTATGCTAATATTAAAATAGAATGAATTGCTCCTAAAATTGAAGACAACCAAAAAAATACTCAAAGAGATTGGCAGGCAAGTTCTCCTTAAATTCACAAGGTAAACCTGAGGGAAACAGTATTATCTCAGACAGCACAGCAACAGAAGCTACAAAATCATCAATACCAGCTATAGGAATGAAAAACCTTGGAAGGGAACAGAGAATAGATTGCATGAATTTATAGAGCAGAAAGCTACAAATATGCAAGTGTAACTTCAGTCTACAAGGAAAAAGGCACTAGATCACACTGGACAGACAATGCTCTCACTACCTTATGGCTCGGTTCAAAGCATGTCTGAACTTTTAATTAACATCCAATAGAATGTCACCAGAAAACCCTCACAGACAGAAAGAAATTAATACACAAAGCATCAGCCAGACTGGGGAGCAAAGCTGATTGCAAGAAGATCAGACAACAATATAATTGTGATTCCATGCACGTAATTTCCCACTTGTGTTGACTTGCTGCAACATATGTTCCAAGATCCAAGCTTGCATTGGGAGAACATATTCCTTGACAACGAGAGCGCCGAAAACATGAACAAGCTTAACACTTAGAATGACTGCAACAAGCCTGAAATAACAGTGCTAGAAAGCATCAATTGTCTGTCTTAGCTCATCTTACTACAAAAGCCCACAGAAAGAGGACAATAAACAAACAAGCATCATTAAGTACTTCACAAAAAAACTCAGCTGAATATGAGTAACAACTCATTTTCATATTTAATTAGTTGAAAAGGATTAGGCTTCTAAATGTTAAACAAAGCTACTACAGCATTTCTAGTGGTCTGAATAACACCACTGTAAAAAGAGTTCTCTCTTCACTCTATGTATAGGAACTCTACTTTCACTATAATATTTAATCAGGCAGCAAATATATAAATTAATAACTTAATATTAGCTACATTCAAACTACATTATCTTTAACCATATTTCACTATATGACCTAGAAAAAAAAAGCCTGTTTTATCGCACAGGATCCTTTAAAATATGGCTATATTTCATACTCAGGACAATTGATGTTGAACACAGAAAAATATTTCTATACTTGAAGATTCCTATAACAGTCTAGAAATAATACAGTATTCTGTATAGAACACCATACAGTCTATAACATAATAGTCTAACAGCTATATTAAACTAAGCAGTGATTTAACAAATTTCACTTGTGTTAACAGAACTTGTTCTTTGATTTGGCTGCTTTGCTTCATGTATGTGCATATAAGAGAGAAGTATCAAATCAATTTTCAGTCACAGGAAAAGTCAGGATATCACTTTCTCTGAACCCCTTAGCCTTTCTGGTAAGTAATACTAAGATAGATATTCAGTTTTCTTACCTCCATTGGGACCTGGGTCAGGAGGATCCAGAATGACACCTCCCCAACAACTTCCACTCCATCCTCCCTCTCTCTTAACTTTTATTTTTCTTCTCTTCTCCCATGTATCTCTCTGCTGAATAATCTCAGACTGAATTCTCTCTCGTTCTTCTTTTTTTCGTTGGGTAACTGCCTGGATTCTCCCACCTTGTATCACAGGAGCATTAAGACCAGGCCAGAGGAAACCAGAACGTCCTTAAAAATAACAGAGAATTACATTTTATTCCAAGTTAGGACTGAAACTCTGCACACTGGAAAAATGCAATAAAATTCAAAGGTTCTCACATATTTCAAGTGCATTTTATGACACAGAACGAATATTTAAAAGCCAAGAATAACTCTAAACAATCATATCAGGATTTTCTTTAAAGGACAAAAATATCTCAAGCAGTTCTGCCACCATGGAAATTAAAAGCAATTTGTCAATTTATTAAATCAAGAAACGCTATACACAAAAAGGTCAAGACACGTCTTCAGCCCCTTATTTGTGAATTTACCTTCACCAATCTCCTGGCCTTTATTGAGATTCTTCCTTAGCTTTTTCTTCCTTCTCTTTCCTCTTCCTTTCTTTACTCCCACACCAGTCTCTGCCAAAGCTCCTTTCCATAGCTCATCAGCTGTCACTGAAATAAAAATGCTTTCATAAGTAACATACAAGTTACAGCTTATACTGGAAACTGAAGCTGAACAAAAAAACCTCGAAAAGTTAACCCTTGGTTGATCTTTGCTAGGATTTAAAACTGTAGGATTACTGCCTTGCTAAGAAAATTATTTCCCACTGTGTGTGTATCTGTATCTGGTGCAGAGATGTCCCTCTACTCCTGATTATTGCAACCAGACAGGCACACAGCCAGGTGCATGGTTTTTAAAAGGATTTTCAAAATCTACTCAATGGCAAACATTCCTAATCAGTAACCGGTAAGGTATTAAATCCCAGGTCATTGAAAGAAAATCATTCATTAGTAACTCAGAGCAGCAATACCTGTAAGCACTTATCCAAGGACAAATGTAATTGACAGTCAACTTGAATCACTCCTAAAAATATCCAAGGGTTAGCCTGCTTTAAAAAGCCACAATACACAAGAAGTTAACAAACAACATAAATCTGTAGCTGTTCTCATGTTCTGACAAAATACAAGCTCCCCCCCACCTTATTGCCTGTATAAATGCAAAGGAATGTAAGGTAGAAAGAATGTAAGATGCCTTAAACAGCCTTATCACAGCGCTCAGGCTTTGGTCAGGCCTCCTCACTCAGCGGCTGTGTACATGACATCCACTGTCTTAAGATGTTTCACATAACATATGAAAGCATGACTTAGGAAGCACGTATTTACTAGTTAACTTCAAACTACTATTTGCCTAACTGATCAAAATATAGGATATCCTCATAACTTGGACAAAAACAAACTACACCAAATGAAACTGATGATGTGAAGAAGACACACACATATTTCATATATTTCATCCTATTAGTCCAGACAAGAAGGCTATCACCACAGAATACACAAGCGTCACCATTGTTGTATTTGCAGATTAATGCTATTATATGTTTCACCCAGGGGCAACGTTACTATCGCAGTATAACTCTCTTCTCTGATTAGAAACTGATATTGTTTATTTAAAGTTGACATAAAAACTCAGTAAACACTTTTAAACAGGGGAATTAAAATAACTATGCTGAAATAGCTACAGTTTCCCAACAGCAATTTATGCTTGTTAGATTAATGCATGTGAGAGATCCTGTCCTGCAGACCAGCAAACGCATTGGAACTGCTATGTACAACTCGGTGAGAGAGAGCAGCTACCCAGGACTTCCAGAGGTACTGCTAAGTGCCAAGGTTTATTTTGGTATTGAGGAAGTTTGTATAAGGTGTCAATGTGGCTCTTCCAAAGCTACAATGCCCATCTTTTCAGCCAAAAATCTTTTTCAAAGTGGGATGCATAACTGTGATTCTTTTTTGAAAACTACAATCCTGAATCAAGTAATCAAAGCTCAGTACACTGGAAAGCAAGCGTACAAGGAAGGACACACAATACTACGAGTCCAGGAAGCTACAAAATAGTATTCTCTCAAGATGGGCAAGAGCAGAACGGTCTAGAAAGTCACTATATACCCAAATAGCATATTGTACGAATAGCACAACAAGACAAAATATGTAATATAGATTTCAACTGTATGACAGACAAGTGGAGATTGTGTATTACAGACAATTAGAAATGCACATGGATTGCACATAACAGCAACATTTATCACTTCTTATATGCTGTGAGGCAAGAATTATATTTGCTCCTGGGTAGGCTTTAGTCCCTGTAAAAAAGACATTTCTGTCAGAAATTACACTTTTTTTTCTAGACATTCAAGAGAACCCTAATGTCCAGAGGTTTATGGTTGAAAAAGACCCTACAAACAGTAACTGTATCAAAGGGCTTGAAACCAGTGTCTGAACTATCAGGCACTAAAAAAATTTCCAGCTGATTACAACAAACTGATGCGTGTAGCTGTGTGCTAAATGCAAAAAGAAACCAACCCTCCCCCTCCCAAACCTTTCTGCTGCACAGAACTCACCAAACAGAAAAACTTCACTGCTGATTGAGCATGTTACTTTCAATAACGGCCAAACTGTGATAAATACTAGACTGTCTACAAGAAGTCAATATTACCCTAAGGTAACACTGCATTAAAGTTCAGTATAGAAAAAGACTGGTAGTACGTAGGTGCTTGATGCAGCTTTTCATGTTCTAAAGTGGACTATAGGACTGTTGCTTAAGCTGGAAGATTGACAATCAATCACATTAAGCTTCTTAGCTTATTCAGAAAACATTATGTAACTAGCAATTTCTTTTTTTTATGATAATCCTGCTAGCCTGGAAACATGGAATTACAATGAAGGTATTTACATTTTTTCTTTGCAAGGTTATTTTTAGGATGGAACAGTTCCCCAACCTACTGCAGTTTCTATGGCTTCACAAAGGGTCATAACAGCTACCAAGGAGGCTGCAGAAAGGCAGCAACAAGCAGTTGAGATGCAAGAACAGGGAGTGCTTGAGCTGGTAATACACTCAAAAAACCCCCGGTACTTTGAGCTGTATTCTAAATATCTCTACAATAAGATCACTTAATTCCAACAGAGGAAAGTAGCAAGTCACAGAGTAAGGAGATTGTGTTGGTACCAAAGGAGACCAGTCAATGCCAACAGGTCGAGCAAGATGAGGTCCGACTGAGTCAAGTTTTGGCCTCAAGCACCACACAAACTGACAAAATTAGAACCAGAGGAAAATGTCAGATTTGGTACCAAAGTGCAGTTCATCTAATCAGTCTATAATAATATCATCCTGTGTTTGGAAAGCAGATCAATTCAATGAAAAATATCAGAAGCCTGCAGGCTACAGAGCTGAGAGCTCTTTGTAAGATGGCAGATATCACACTGATTTTAAGAAAAGTGACAAGAATGGAATATGGAGGGGATAGGCTGCAGTGAAGAAGATTACAATGGGGGGGGTATCCTTAGTTGCCAGCTGAGGTTAAACCACGACATGGGGACATGGCTTACGACTATAGACAGACAACACAGCAATAAAGAAAATAAAAATCTGACCATAAGAAAGGTCAATCCAACTTGTCAGCAAAGCACCAAGATGACTGGAGAGCATCTACACAGGAAGGAGAAAGGTCTTGTAGCGGAGATAATAACCCAAACAGAAATGAGGATCGCTGTACTGCTTTTCACATTTGCAGAAATGCTCTGAAATGAAGACAGTATAGTAGGTGTGCAGTCTCCGAGTGATTTGTAGCCTTGCCTTTATTTTGCCTTTGTAAAATGGGAGGCTGCATGTATTCCTCCAGAGCTAAAATAGAACCAGTCATAAAAGCCACCACACATTTCTAGCCAGTTACTGAAAAGCACATAGCTACTAACTGAAAAAAAAAAAGGTAACGTGTCGATTTTATTTTATGGCCTAGAAAAAGATCCACTACTGAGTTTTGCTTAACGCATGCAAGGTGATCACTAACAACCACCAACAGTAAGTTTGTATGACACCACTCCATTTTGCTTAATCTACCTAAAAAAATGGCTGTAATATTTTGAAAAGGATTTGGTTTTGTGTTTTTTGTACTATCCCTGAATTTCAGGAACCAGACAGCACTTAGTGCTTACTTCAGATGAAGATGAATATTAGACCACATCTCAGTAACTCATAAGTATTACCAAAACAACTTGCTGTAAACCATATCAGAAAACAGTATCCTAGATCTTGATACACTGAGATTAAAAGCAGATTTCTTTGCCTTCTGGAAGATGAGTTCCTTGCTTGCTTAGAATATAAACTACAAAGAAAAGACAAATAGCAGTAAGTTGGAAAACTGAAGGGATTAAAAGGAGAAGACAGGATCAACTTTGTAAAACAGCTAAGCAGGCTCACTTCCACTTATAAGTAATTTTTCCTTAAGTTTTTTTATAACAAATAGTCTTGTGGCAGCACAGCAGCAGAGATTCAAAGGCATTCATATTAATGACATAATAAAAATATTAACGAACATGTTATAATAAACATGCTTCTTTCAATGTACTGTTGCCCATTAATGCCATTATATCTATGCATCTGTACTACCTTAAGTAACTTAGTAAGATCTTGTCACGGACTAACTGGTTTGCCTACACACCTCAGAGAAGTGTGGCTCTGTCTTCTTTAGAATCATAAAATAATTTAAGTTTGAAGGGATCACAGGATTTCAACAACCCCAACCTCTACTCAAGCATGTCTACCTCCAACTTTCTCAGAAGCACCTCATGATAGAAAAACTAAGATATCAATTAGCTAAATAAATCTTATTTATGCACCTGAAGAAGTAAGTCGATTTACACTGACAATCAGGTTGCCAAGAGACCACTTGCACAAAAAACCTAGTCTAGAATTCCTGTAACAGAACTGGGAAGAGAACAAGATTTTCTGAGCCACCTCATGTAAACAGAAAAAACTCCTTCCTCTCCAATGTTAGGGAAGCAAAGAACAAAAACAGTGCCTGCAATCTCAAAATTTTAGTCCCAAGGTGAGAACAGTAGCCTAAACCTGGGTCTATAATAAAAACTTCAATACTCAGGCAACCCCTGGTATGACTGCCACAGCAGGACTCTCAGTGGCAACATATGCTAGAATAGCATTTCAATCTCAAATTCCAGGTTCCCTATTACAGCTTCTATTCCCTAATAAGGCATATAAACTGCATATACAAGTTGTTGCTTATGGAACAAAACTACAGGACAAAAAAAATCTAAGGTGAAAACTCATAGTAACATGTAAAAAAGGCTATTTTACACACAAATTAGGCCTACAAAGGCAAAAATCACAATGAAATAGAAACAAAAAACCAACAAGAACCAGTATAAGTTAAATAGACTTCAGATTTTTAATGAACTTGCATCCATCAACGAGATTGGAAGAACAAGAGCAACAAGAGTAGCTTTTTTTTTTTACCCCTTTGCATAATGGAATATTATGCGTGCATTATGAAATAGTGTATTTCAAATAACTGAGCATAAAGGTTTTTTCCTCTATTGGTCAAAAACAAATTAAGTGACACAGAGTTAGAAACAGATTAAAAGAAACCTTTGTTTTTGATACA